AAGAAAATTAACTATAAACGAACCGTTATTAACTAGTGATTTATCCTAGGGAAGCACCTAAATTCCAAATTTTCAGCTGATGTCGGAATCATCAAAGTCATCTTGAAAGGAATTGAAGAAATCAGCGTCAGCGAGACGGAGGTGGTCGGAACCTAATAAAGGACCTTCACCGAAAATCTCGAGAGCCTCCACGTCATCAATGTCCATCGCCATTGTTGATCCTTGATCCTCTAGGTCCGCCAGGTAATCCACCGTCATTGGCTTCATCGTCGCCGGAAACTTCTTCCCGGAATTCTCCCTTTGTAGATGCTCTGTGAATCGCCGCAAATATTGGAACCTTCGAGAGATTACAGAACGATAGGGGCAGATATTTATACTTGGAGAATCGCGTCGATTTAGACTCAAGAATGGAAGACTCCACGTTTTTTTGTTTTTCAGAGACAAAAAAAGGAAAAAAAGAGGACGAAATAGTATAGAAATGTTAGAAATATATTATATTATAAATTTTTATTTAATACTTCGTTGTAAATAATCTTCGAAAAAAGAAAAAGAAAAAAGAGGAGCGTCATAGTACAGGAAAATATAGTTACTTTATTAGCAAAATTATCCTCCGAAGAAGTACTGTGTCTCACTTTATAGGACATGATTTGGAGTATGATGATTAATTATTATTATTTTTTTTTAATGTAAATTGAGATGTAAAATCTTCAAAAATTGTCAGTGAAATTTATGTATTCAAAAAATAGATAAAAGAATAATAATTTTTAAAAAATTTATAAAAAATCACGCTAAATGAAAACTTCTTTTTACTCTTTAAATAGTAATTGTGTCACGTAAAGGAGCGAGTACAAGTTTTGGAGTTAAAACAACAAGATTTAATGATTTCTTGATTAAAATATATACCAATTGGAGGCTATACAACAATTGGTACTCTCTATGTTCATGTTATTTTTATTCCGTTTGTTTAAAAATCGTAAATGACATATATTTTTGTATTTTAAAATAATTTATTTTAAAATTTTATTTTATTCTTAATAATATATATTTTTACCCGCACAAAAATAACATGACATATTTGAAATCACAAGTTTCAAATATTCTTATTTCACTTTTAGACGTTCTGCCTAGTGTGTATAAAATGAAATGTCACGAGTCATACTGATACAGAGAGTAAAATTATATAATATTGTATTATTTGTGCATAGTATAGTTTCTACTGAAATTCATACACTAAGCAAAATATTTTTCTATTTCAATTTTCAACATGTAAATGCTTTGAGACTACTAATTACTCCTTACTTAGAAAATTTCTAAAGTTAGATTGACTTCTTGTTTGGCGTAGTTGTAGAGGCGAAATCAGGATAAAAAATTTATGAGTTCTAAACTAGCAGTCGAACCCATAACTTGTTTAGTTTCTGGGTTAACAATTAAATAATTATATATATATTTATTAATTTTTAATATAAATATATAGTTTAAATAAAAGCTACTAGCTCCACCATGCTTAGTTGTTGTTGTAAATTGACTTCTTTTGTTTAAAAGGTCTATTCACAGTGACATTGATATAGTTATTCCGTTAGGCAAAGATCACTCTTAGCCCACCGTTTTCATTCGGTAGCCGTAAACGTGTATAAATTTTATATATTTTTTATAAATATATATATATATTCTCCGGCTATTATTGTAAAAGCAAACTATACAGTATCATTTTTACATTGTTTTAATATTGCGTGTAGTAACATTTAATCATCAATGGAGCTCATCACAAATTTATAGGAAAAATAGTGAAAGAAAAATTGAAACTCTCTTTAAAGTAGTAGAAACTTTTGAAAAAGCTTTATTCTCCATGTAAATTCTAAAACTTTCTGTTCTTTTTATAGTTTTTTTTTTTCTAACTGAAACAGACTTTATTCTTGAAATACTATACTGTATATTTGAGGATAATGTCAGTGAGTAATGTTAGCCAATGGAATAGAGTGTATCATCAATGAAGACCACTAAGAGTAGTGGTCTTCTTCTTCTTCACCTATTACCCTCTCAACTCTCAAACCCCAACAATCATTCTCTCCTTCTTTTCTTCCCTCAACAACCCAATTCTTTAAACAAACTCACTGCTACAAATTCACTGTCTACTCATATTCTTTCTCAGCCTCTTCACCTCTGCAAGTCTAGCAAGTGGGACTCAAATGCTGAGTCTATCAAGAACCTGAATTTTGGTAAAGTTTGGGATTTTGAAGATGAGGAAGAGGAGGAGTTTTATGGGGATGAAATCTTGGACCAAGGAGCTCAAGTTTTAGAGGAATATATTGATAGTATTTGGATTTTTAAGGTACCATTTTTACTGCTTCTCCCTTTTATTCTTCAGTTAGAATTCCATGCTATAAGCTTGAATTCCATTTCTTTGCTGTAAAGTTTGTTCCTTTTTTTCCTCCTTTATGCATGTTTGGGCACTTGAATTTTGGATTTTCTGCTTAAAGTTTGGATCTTTTGGGATGGATATGGAGTTTTGACACTTTTTGGTACTTTAATTTGAATTTTTAAGGACAAACAAGAATACTATTGGTTGAGCTGACCAGCTACATTACTGTTTTTTTAATAAATGAATTCAGATTCTAGTGTAAAATGATGCCTTGGATAATGCTGATTGATTTTGGTTATTAGATGCATAAACTTGGCTTTAAATTGAGTAAATTAGTATGATGTTTCGTTGAAATGCATAAGTGGTACTCTTGAGTTCAAAATTGTTGGAGTACATGATGCTAAATTAGTGAAGGGTAGTGGTTACTTGGAAGACAATCTTGAGTTCATAGTTAGATTATTCCAAAGAATTTTCTATCTTCTCCTCAATATTTGAAGAAGCTATCTAAAAATCGACTACATTCCAAGATTTTCATTATGAACGTTGGAAATCCTTGACAGACTTAGACAAATTGCATATTCTACACATATTTCAACTGCAATAGTTGAATCCTTTGGAAAACATTTCCCACGATAAACACAATACTGTCATGTTAGCTCTTCCTTTTGTGCCTAAGCAGATTATATCACATAAAATATCTTGAACGGAGTAGAGTACGATGTCACTTGTCATGGAATTCACTGATCATCAGTCAACACAATGGTGCGGAAGCTCACCGCTTATGTGTTAAAACTCTCTATGTACATCAGAATTCTTTGCTAAAACTGCTAGGATCTCTACAACCAGTCTTTTGCATAGGTGGTCATGATAATGCTTGTCAAGAGGAATAGGCTGAGAATGAAATTTGAGGACAAGAGAGAATTATCAAGACTCAAGACCTAGCTTTATTTAGTTTAGCTCTGAACCAGGGTCAAACTGTGACACTAGTTCGTCCTTAAAGAAAAAAGAGCAGCTTGGTGCACTAAGCTCCCGCGGGGTCCGGACCACAAGGGTCTATTATATGCAGCCTTACCCTACATTTCTGCAAGAGGATCTTTCCGCGGCTCGAACCCGTGACCTCCTAGTTCGTCCTTCAGCATTGAAAAAATATCCGCTGCACATCTAATTATTCTTCTTGAGATCCTTCCTTAATGGATATCTCATGCACTAATCTAACCACAGTACTAATACCAGGGTTGAGGCTTCAGACTAGAAAGGCTCTTTGATTCTGATAATATTCTTCTTGCTTCAGAAAGCTTTTTCTTGTTTCTTTCTTCCAATGTTCTTGTTTGATTAGTTGAACCTTGTCACTTTGTTCAACTGCCAAATCTGATGTTTTCTGAATAAAAATCAACTGTAAAATGGTTCGCTAATATATGACCGCGTGAATAATCTTTACCTATAGCTCCCCTGGAATCAAGGAAATTTCCTACGCTCTCAACCAGATCACATTTGCTTTTCTTTTGCATATATTGCTGCTTCAGCGGTAATTCGGATACACACTATTAAATGATAAGAAAGAAGAGATCTGGGAAATGTATTGTTTGATTATCCTCTCAACCATGTTGGATTTTAAATAGCATTTACTTGTCATGCCATTTCCTGGGCATCATCATAAAATGGTGCAGAAGCTCACCTCTTACATCTTCAATTCCTTACGGACATCAAATTCTTTGCTAAGGCTGCTCTGACGCAACTTCCATTCAGTGAATAATAGATGTCCACAATTGGTCTTTTATGTGGGTGTTCATGATAGCATCTTTCCAGGGCAAAGGTTGAGGAAAAAAGAAAATTAGTCAGCGAATTATCAAATTAGTCCAAGGCATAAACAAATGGCTATTTCTCACATAGCTATAAATCTGTATTAATCTTTTAAGAGCTCTGTCTGATCTATATTTTCTTCTATCCTTTCAGTAGCTTTCTTGTCGCTATAATTTCAGTAGAGTTCCTGAGTGTAACTATCTAACTTGGCCTAGTCTTCATTTCCTCATTCTAAAAACATTGGTGCTCAACAGAAAGAATGAGAGCCACATGTTCAAGTGTCATTAGACAAACTCCATTTGACAATAATTACTCTTGCTAAAATGTTCTCCGACAGAAAATTGAACTTGGGCAGATATGTTTTTGTCAAATAACTTACAAGTTAGCATTCTTGGGCAGTGCAGGTTTTCTGGTCCTATGGTTGGGCGCTTCCACCAATTCTAATAGCATTGCTGATAACAGGAGGTCCTAAAGCTTTTCTTATGGCATTAGCCATTCCCCTTGGACAATCCACATTTTCTTTTGCAATCCAAAAGATGTTGGATGCGACGCAAAACAAACCAAGGCGCAAGAGTAAAACTAAGAAGAGACAGCGTGCCCCCACCTCAAACAAGACAAACTTTGGGAGAAGAGGAGGAAGCCCCAAGACACGAAGGAGAAAGCCAAGTTATCAACCATGGGCGTCCAAAAATGGCGTCTCAGCTAATAATAATGATGAGCGCGAGGTATCTAGATATGGAGGCTGGGATGAACTTGATCAAGTAAGTGAGTCTACTAGTACTGGTTCATTTGAAAGTTCAGCTCAATCATCAGTTGGAACATCAAAGATGAATGTGGAAAAGGGTAAGTTAAGTAAACCAGAAGCGAAAAGAGATATGCCCCTATTGTTAAGGTTGTTGATTGCCATTTTCCCATTCTTGGCTTCATGAACTAAGTTACTATAATATATGGGCAGCTTAATTTGAGTTTGCATAGGCAAAGATGAGACTGAATATTGCACAAAAGATTGAATACAGGGTAAAGGACATCTATAGAATAAACATGAGCAGTTTTTTTATTTTATTTTATGAAGTTTCCCTTTTTATATTTCTCTTCATTGAAGAATTTATATTTAAGTTATAATGATCATATTCTGAATACTTCAAAAAACCCTCAAAAAGCATTCAACAGCTCTCGACTTATAACGATGTAATTAGCACAATATTTTACTTGACCTACATAACTTTGCCAGAGCTAATAATCATTTACTCCCTCCGTTTCAATTTGAATGA